AATGGAGCTGTCACGGCTGCCAAGACTATCTCGTGGAAGCTCTTCTGACAAGCCTCAACACCCCCCGAAGTAGACTAGCCGGTGTATCTTTAGTTCTCAAACAGACTGAAGGCAGATGCAGGGGCTTTGTGTCAGAAGCTTTCTGCGCCTGATCCTGATCCAGAACTCCCCGAACCGGGGTCCACGTGCTTCTCCTAGCGCAGGACTTTTTTTGTGAAGAAAAACCGTATGTACAATGGAGCTTCAACGTGCCCAAGTGTGGGTGAGTCTCCGAATGCACAAGAAGTCCGAGCTGGATCTGTTTGGGCGTTAGAAGGGTAGAAGCGCAACCAAGGCGGAGTCACAAGTTGTGAGCCCCAAGGGGTTATATAGGGATAATGTAAAGGAAGATGGAAACAACTATAACTAACGTTCTGGGGTCGCAGCATGACTGGGGAGCTTCTCTAAGTGATGCCTAGACAATTCTAGACAATTCTTTACAACCTTACTTGTAAAGTCTTTGATATATTGAGAAGCTCCCACCTTGCACACTGCTGGGCTGCAAGTCTCATGAACTTTGATTCTTTGCAAGTGGTCCTCTTGGAGCTTGGCATCTCGAAGATCCCTTTAAAGGGGTATATAGGGAATTGTATCTGTATATGCACTTCTTATGTGCTGGTGTACTGAACCTAGAAGACTGCGAAAAAAGCAATTCGCCTTGCAGTGCTTGAAGAGCAGGGGCCGGAGGGTTTTTCGAGGACTCACGATATGGAGAATGGTATAGATAGAAACTGCCATAACGGTCCCTGAGAACCCATTGAGCACCAAGTAAGGCGGCTACCAGCAACGCTTGCCCTACAACTCTAAACTCTTGACGTCTGAATCTCTGCAGCTGGGGCTTCAGGATGCCCCCGGTTCCGTCCCTCATAGTAATTGCTTTTCAGGGACTGGCTGACTAGCGCACCTGTTCAAACTCATCATGATGAACAGGGGGCATGATCTGAAACTCCTGGCTCGGGAGCAGGCATCACTCAAATCAAGCCACGCTGCGTGCTGACACATGCCGCATGCGAGAGCAGCAAAAAAAAGATCACAGATCCTCTTTGCGTGACTCAGCTGCGTCGGACAGCGCACAGTCAGTATCCGGTGCAGGAGGCGGTAGAGTTCCCCCTAAGCTGTCTCCGTCACGGGATGCTTTAGTAGGACCTGGATTTCCACCTTGC